TGATAACAGAGAGGCCTTGTTCTAACTCCTGATCGCGTGGTGCCCACACTTTTGGCTCCTGGTACCCTCAAGAAAATGAAAACCCAGGGCTCCAAGATGCAGGGGCAGTAACATCCTCAGAGTAGCCACTGCTTTGGAAGCAATAAAAAAAAATCAATAGATTGGTTTGAAAAATAAATATGAATACCTGTAGTCAATCATGAATATCACTAATACCAGCTACCTAAAGTAACTGTGTGTGAAATACTTTTAATAAGATTTTATTTTCTTCCTGTGCTCCCAAGAATCACATGATCTGTACTTTTGTATTCAACTGATGACACATGAAAGATGCAGAGACTTAAAATCACTGTTTTCAAGGTCAAATCAAATTGGAGGCAATCTTCTTCATTCCACTTATAAGACCTATGTAACTTGTCTTGTTAAAACTAGTACTTTTTAAAAAACAAGTATTTAGAATACCATCCAGAACTCATTTTTTAACTGTCAAAACTGAAATTATTTGCAAGCCATAGATACATACAACCTTGTAGGCTGACACCCCACTTAACTGTTAAATTACCTAAAGGATTATCTTGTCTTTCTTTAATGTGAATTCAGGAGAACAAAGCTATTTAAAATTCCTTCTGTTGAGAAATTCTATTAAGAGCATTGTATTTCTTTGGCAGCCCTAAAAGAAACTAGCCCAATATTTTAACATCATATTTTTAAAGCTACTTTGGAATACTTTTTATAAAGATAGATTGAAACCTAAGAAATAGAATATGTGTTATGCAAATGCTGTCAATTTTACCAAAGTTCTTTAGCTCAAAGAATTCTTTTGTACCTGTGTAGTGTGGAGGTAAAGCTTTGTGTATTAGCATGGCAACATTTAAATATGCAAAAAGTAGTAGGTGAAATCATGAATACATTGTGCTTCCACCTACTACTCTCTGCATATTTGAATATGCACTAATAGATAGTGTTTTATATATCAATATTAGAGTGTCTCAAAAGGAAATATGTATGAAAAGAAAAAAATTCTTTGCATTATTAATCATAGTCTATAGCCATAGCAAAACTGTGAGGGAAAGGAAACTATTAAAGCATAGTTCAAGTAATTTTAAAGAGACTGATGTTAATAGATATAAGTCTGAGCACATTCTGAAACAAAATGAAAGAAAATAATGGACAAAGAAAGAAATATATTCAAGGCTTTACCTAGAACCATTCTCAACTATAAAAAGATCCATTTAGCAGGTTTTTTGTATGTGCTGCTTTTATCTACTGAGTGAGGTTTTGAGTTAGATACTCTTCATCACCTAGTTTATAAATGAGGAAATTGACAGTGTTACTGAGCTTCCCACCATCACCTAAGTTTGAAAGTGTTAATTCCTATATAAAAGACAATGTAGGATAAGTCCCCTGTTTTAAGATGTTTACCTGACTACCAACCTTTCTCTTAGTCCAGTTTGTCTTCTTTCCTTTTCAAGCTGGGCCAAATACCAGTAACTTGCACTAGATTACTTGGGAGTAATGGTATAAATAATAAAACTAGTTTAGTTTGTTTCTAGAATCTATGTACTTTCCACTGAATTTTCCAGAATTTTTCACTCTTTGGTTAGTCATTCATTTGCTCATTGATTTAACAAATATTTGTTGAGCACTTTGTGTAATGTGTTCTTCTGGGCTCTGGGCTTACTCTATTGAACTGAATAAGAAATGCAAAGTTCTGTAGGTTGCATTCTGATAGGGAGAGATGGAGAAGCAAACCTGTAGACACACACTGAGGGGTAGGAGGTGCCACATAGAGAAATAAAGCCTTGTAAGTGGCTAGAAAATAATGGGATAAAGGATTGACTTAAATTTTTTAGGTGAGATAATCAGTTCAAAATGAATGTACAACTGTCACTGGTCCTTTTAGGGTGCTATTGTTTTCTTCTATGAGGGTCTTGACTCCATGGTTCAGAGCACACTGAAACTCAGCCTGGGTTTTATGTCACTCTCTGGTTGTTAGAAGATGAAGTGTGACTTACATTCTACCATTTCATTGTAGAAATGATTTTGCACTTGGTTTACTTTATAACTTGTAAAAGAATTTTGTCCCCCACAATCAAAGAATGTAGTCTGAATGTCCAGTTCCTGAAGCACTTTCACTTCCGTCACTGAAACTTCAATGTGCTGATGAAGAAAATCTTATTTTAATCATTAATATTGCTGTTTACGTTCTCATGATTAGTTATCTGGCTTTACTGAGGAATGCTGTCCCTTACTATTTCTGAGCCAGTGCAGACATGAACGATCAATCAGGATTCTTACTAACAAAGCTTCTTGGTGTCCTCAGAATTCTCCATCTAGTGCTCTAGGTAGTACCAGCTGAACATTTGAAGTTGCTGTGAGAGCTGAGCTGAATTTAGTTCTTTACTGGCAACTTGCCCAACAAAGAAATTCATATTGAATCAATTTGAAAGGCTCAAGAAGGAAGAGGCAAACAAGACTCAGGGCTTTGTGTTTCTTTGCCGCCCTCCCAATCCAAAATTCTGTGTGCACGTCAGAAGACTGCAGAAACCCGCATTCCTGGGATCTAGTGAGACAGCCCTAGACACTCTGAACATACATATGTATACACATGCATGCACACAGTTGTTCACAGTTATCCATGGGTAATACTGTGTAGTCTAAGACATCTTCCTACCTCCCACGAATGCATGAATTGTTTTTTTTTTTAAATTTTATTTATTTATTTATTTGAGAGAGAGAGAGAGAGAGAGAGAGAGAGAGAGAGGCCAGCTCAGCCCACCAGGGGGCAGGGCTGGCTGGCATGTGGTGCTGGGGGATTGAACCGCGGTCCCTGATGCTTTTGCTAAGCTTGTTCTAAGTAGGTGCTTTAGACCACTGAGCCATCTCTCCAGCCCCATGAATTGTAATAGTAACAAGCTCTATTTTTCCTGCATATACAACCTATGATCCTTGAATGGTTATTTGAAGAGAGAAAATTGGAAATTGTTTTCTTTCCAAGTATTTGTCCAAAATACCATCTTAGTAAGGTGAACAAACAGTTGAATATATTGGCAAATTGTTTCTGCATTTCTAACAAGGGTCTTCTCTTTCTTATTAATACTTGATGTGCACTATTAGTTCTTAGAGATAAAAGTAGTGATGTCAAAAACTAATTGGTTTTAATAGAATGCTTATATTACAAAGTCTATGATGGTAAAATGTGTTCAACTTGAGTTTGCTTTTCTCTGAGAAGCTGAAAACCTTCTTTTCAGTAGTAATTAAAAATAAACAGCAGTCATTAACATACTGTGGGGTTCTAATGACCACAACTTTGCTTACTCGCATGAATGACTTACTGATCTAAAGCAAAGTAATTCAACGCTGAAATTATCTTGGAAATTAAAAACCATCCAGATAATGAATAGTTTCAATTTCTATAGCACCAATTTATGTGTAGTTTTCATTTTTATGTATTCTAAAACTGGCTGTGGATTCCACATCAAAGAAGAGAAGATTGTGCTCAATTTCTAAACTCATTATTCCTGGAATGATATTCATTCACTCATTCATTCATTCATTCATTCATTCATTCATTCATTCAGCAAACATTTATTGAAAATCATCTTTAGGTTAGGCATTTTTCCAGGGTGTTTTAGAGTGAGAGAAAGAAAAAAGTAGAGTAGTCTGTACTCAGAAAAGGAATTATTATTTCAGGATTGAGATGGTATGTTATTCTATTTCAATCTCTTTTTATAAAAATTATTGAATCAAAATTTAATATAACCAATTCTATGTTATTGGACATTTAGGAAAACTGATTTGAGGGGCTCTCAAAACTCCAAATTGACTATCTCTGATAACAAATGCTTGTCTATCTTCCTAATTATTTCTTTAGATTGGAATTCTATAAATAGAATAATTAATTCAAAGGACATGAACATTTTAGTCTCTTAAAATTTACCAAAATAGATCTAAATTAGAAATATAAGTTAAAAGTTGTATCATTTTGTCTTACCACCCACACTGTGTGAGTCTTTCTTTCCTTTCCTTGCTAGCCTAAAGAATATAAAATGTTCCGTCAAATATGTATCATCTATCACTGATCTTTAAATAATTTAAAATTACTAATTCTTTTTTTGCTTTTAAGGTTACTTTAGTGCTGATCAAAATCTTTCAAATGATGTTGTATCTATCTCACAAGAAAGCATGTAGATTATTTTCCTTCCTTTTCTTATAATAAATCCTGAATTCTAGAGTAAGAGGTTATGAAGTGTTGTCTGTTAGTTTGAGAAGTTGAACTGAGCAAATGAAGATCACAGCTGTCCAGAAGTAAATTGGAAAAAAATTTACATACAAGCAGATGTTAAAAAATACATATATCTGTATTTTGTTAGCATCTATTGAGTTTCAAAAGTACATATTTAGGATATTGTAGCTAATTAGCAAAACATTCTATTTGCTGCTAGTGGATTTTATTTGAACACAAAAATCCTACTTGTAGAAATTTTAAAAATATTTTGAATAGGTTTATAGTAACCTAACTACATCTTACTTAAAAATGAAGTTATATACCAGATATATGGTTAAACTTTCTGTTATATCTTTTATATCATTTCAAACATTTTGTTTTTAACTAGTATGTATTTGTGGTACATGATAATTACATTCTTTGTAGGAAGTTGATGCATGTAGGTCCTAATTCTTTTTTCATTTTCTTCATTTCCCATCCCTCCTCCTTCATCTCATCTCTTAGCCCTCTTTCCAGATGAAAAAGACCTATCTCCCTATTGCCTATTATCAGGCCTTTATTTGTCGTTCCTGTAGAAGAGACATCATGTGATACTTTTATGTATCTGATTCATTTCACTTAATGCTGTGGTCACTTTCATTAAGGTACATCCATTTCCCCAAAATGATTCAGGTCTACTGAATATATCATCTCTGCCCTTCCTGAATTTGTATGCTGAGCTGTTGGATTTTCTTTTTGTCCTTGTTTCAATGTCTACCATGTTTATTCCTAGAACTATGGGACACAAAAACCGATATGTGCAAGTTCCCCGTGGTCACATGTGGGTGGAAGGTGACCATCACGGACACAGCTTCGACAGTAATTCTTTTGGACCGGTGAGTAACCTTTCACCCTATTGCCAGTGTAGATGCTTTCAAATGTGAGACCAAAAGTCTAATTATTTTACTGAGGTAATTAGGCCAAGACAGATTGGGAATTTTATAGTGAACAGGTTACATTCAAATAATTCCTTTTAAATATCATCGATAGATATATAAACTGTCATAGCTGTGTGTGTTTATCTGTGGGTGTGTGCATGTGTGTGTGTGTGTGTGTGCACATATTGGTGCCTCTGTACCCATTGCTAATTGGTTCGTAAGTGTGAAGAGTCCCCAAACTATGAGCGAACACATTGTTTTGGTTAGAAAGGTCAGGGAGTCAGGAGGCGTGGGGGTCAGAGTCCACCGAAGAAGTACCAGCACAGAATGTTTTGTGGCGAGAACTGAATTAGAAGAGTTGCTAAACAGTTGAGTACCAAGTATGATGGTACTGAAAGCAGCTTCCAGCTGTCAGACTGGTCCCACTTGAAAGAGCTTTATTTTCCCCGTAGGAATTCTTTATAGCTGTGTTTACAGCTAATGGTTAGCAGATACAATATGTAAAGACATAGGCATCAATTTTCTAAATCATTAGTTTAAAATGCAAGAGTTTTAATGATCATAGGTGTTTGAGGAGGCAAACTTTACTTCTGTTCTCCTTAGTTGTCACTTCGACCTAAGAGTTAAATTGATCAAAGACAGATTAAAAAGGGGGGAAAAAGCCATATAAATTTAATCTAAGCTTTATATGGCATAAGAGTTATCATACAGAAATGAAAAATGGAAATTATAAGCTTTTCTTGCAGCTGGGCACTTTCAAGTGCCTTAAACTTGAAGTAATCTTTATGGCAGAGTGGCGTCTTTTGGGGTGGTATGTTCTGCCACCCTTGTTTAAGTAACATTTTTAGCATTTTAATTTATAGCAGGAATGCACACATACCATGGTCATGCTTATAGTCCTTAAAATATGTGACTAACCTGACATTGTATGGATTGTTTCATTTCAAATGCATGCAAAACTTTTCTGTTTTTGAATTCCCATAGTAAATCATTATGTAAAGTAAAGAATCTTTTAGTTAGTGGCAACTGTACCTGAATTTAAGTTATCTAGTTTGTTGAAAAGCTTGACCTGACCATTACAATTTCTGAATGTTGTACATATGTACATTGTTACAGTTGTACAGCATGATAGTGAATGCATTTAAATTTATCCTATGGCATCATCTAAAAAGAAACATAGGGCTGGCCTGATAGCTCAGTGGACTAAAGCACCTGCTTAGGCAGAGCGCAGCAGCTGACGTTCAGTGCCTGGTGTGCTATGTCAGCCCTGCCCCCATGGTGTGCTGAGACAGTGATTGAGACTGGGTGTGGTGGCACGCACCTGAAATCCCAGCTATTGGGAGGCTGAACACAGGCAGATCACTAGGAGTACAATCTATCTAGTGAGACCCAGTAGACCCTTTAGATCCTGTCCTAAAAACAATAAAAATAATAAAATAATAAAATTAAATGTCAAATTTTATTAGAATGAAATGATTTCTTCAAATATATCTGCATGAAAGTTAAGTAATATTGTCAATACAGCAATAGAGCTGGATGGAATAAGTGTATGATACAAGGTAGGAGATATTAGACGATTACTCATAGTTTCATTTTTCTACTTATAAATATAATTACAAGCCTTCTGAGGCTTTTACTTACCTATGAATTCTAATTATGCAGAAACATAATATTTGTGAAATATACAAAAGGTGAGACAAAGACTGAAAGTGTTGGAATTATTTTATGTCATTTATAATGTAGCACAAGTGTTTATTATCTGAAAATCTAGTAAAAATTTGAAAGTGAAAATAAATTACCTAAGCAGTTATATTTCTCTTGCATAAAAGACGAAACTTATTTTTGCATCAACTTGTTGGTGAAGTCCATATTAAAGTGTTAGTTCATTTTGGTTGTGTTTGATTGGTTAGGATAGTGATTGTGAAATGAAGTGTTAAACGTTATTTTGCTGTCAATTCTGAGGCATGTGGTAATTAGGTACTAATAATGACTTCCTTAAAGTTGAGATTGGTTTGCATTTTATTGTTCAATTAAATAGGTGTAATGTTATTCATAGATTAATATTTCTCTCACTTGATTGTATTTTCTATAACTTCTTTGGGAAAGAAAAAGATGGCTTAGCCATTGTAATCCAGGATGCTGGGACCTGGACATGCCTCTTGCTGTGTGTCCTTTGATCATGCAGCTCTTGGAAGGCCCCACTTACGCTGTGTACTTAACAGTGATATTTGGAATTATTTAACTATGAATATAACCATGAAAGTGTATCAGATGTGGAAATCCCATCACTTATATCTTTTAAAAAAGAAGAAAAGAAAAGAAATAGCATGTGAAGGGCAATCTCATATCTATTGCAAGAATGTGCAGCACGCAGAGCATGGGTATACTGCCTGTGGTGCTGACTGCCACTTGTGCTACATTCGTCGTGCAAATCTGTCATTTGGTATAAACTGAAGCAGTGATTTAAGTCAGAGGCACAAAATTACTTGGAAGTGTATTGATTCTTTTCTTTTAAATGGGCAAAAAATGTTTATACAGACTGGTTTTTGATTCATGAGCTGGACCATGATATCATTTTTTATTCAGGAAAATAATATTATTTTATATACAAAATATAGGTGGTATACCTTTTCTAGAATGGAGGGAAACATCTCTCACATCATATATTAACTTATCTGTATTTCATGAGTCTTGATATACATGCATTTATTTTATTTTATTTTTTGTTCTTTTTTTCATTTTTTATTTTTTGGCGGAACCAGGGATTGAACTCAGCCTCTTGAGCTTGCCAGGGAAGTGCTTATTCTACTGAGCCATCTCCCTGGCCCCTGTATACATTTATTTTAGAATGGGCTCTGTTTTATGTTCCAATAGCAAATATGACTGGGAAAGCATATTCATAATAATGTTTGCAGTTTTAAAATGACAGTAGTATTTAAGAACCAAAATCTTCACAATTCTTACGTAAAGCTAAAATGCGGTATTTGTATGTGGAAATTTCTTAATCCAGTTTTTATTAGTGAAAGATTATCTGAATAATTTGTTAATTATGATTTTTTTAATTCTAAAAGCAAAAATATAAGTTTAATACTTTTTCAAATGCAGTTATGAAAACTATATTTCTGAAAGCTTCTCTGTGGGAAATTTTTGTTTATCAATTAGCATAGGTAGAGATTTTATAGAGAGGGTTGGTGAGCTCCAGGCTATGTAGGTGTTGACAATATTGTTTCCTTTGCAAGGAGGTCATGTGCTCTGTTTGACAGTAACAACATATTTAAAGGTACTCGGCATGGTCTAGAATGCTTGTCTGGTCTATAGAAAGAAGTTAAAAATTTTAATCTTAACTTCTCTCCCAGTACTTCAAAAGTATGGCAAACTAGTTTTAGCGTGTTTTAACTCTTTGAACACTATGTTTTATTATAGAATCTACCTAGGCTGCTTTCAATTGCTGCCTATTGGTAATATTAGAGCTGAATTTTTCTATATTCAAGTAGGCTTTAATTGTAATGTACTAAAAATGATAAAGAAATAGAATATCTTACTCTGTTATTTTTACAGGATTGTTTTATTATTTCCTATTTGTTTCTTTATATGTTTATTTGCTTTTTTAGATTTGCTTTTGGATATGTAGGTTTGAGATGTAGTTGAATAATTTTATGAATGAAAGGTGTGTTATTAATGGATACTAAGTTACAACAATGTAACACATTATATGAATAGAGAGAACTTAGGTAGCTTATCATCAATGACCTGAACTTTTAACTTATTAGAAATAACATAGGAAGAAAATAGTATATTCTCTTACAAACATAGTTGATATAATGGAACAGAAAATTACACAATCTTGGTTATAGACCTGTCAGTCCTGCAACCTGTATGGATTTACACTTTTTTACAAAGTAAGAATCTCTCCTCTTCTATGAATCTTTTATTTTTTATTTTTTATTTTTTTGTGGAACCAGGGATTGAACTCAGCCTCTTGTGCTTGCCAGGGAAGTGCTTATTCTACTGAGCCATCTCCCCGGCCCCTATGAATCTATTTTTAAATAAAATAATTTATAAAATGTACAAGTATACACATACACCTGTATAATGAAATTTTGTGAATATCTCAGGCAAACTAAGATAGAAATAAATAAAATATGGCTTGTCCAAGGACAAAATATTATATAATTATTAAAATCTATGTTAGGGGCTGGATGGGGAGATAGTTCAGCAGCATAAGTGCCAAAAAATTAAAAACTATATTAATGATACCATCTGCATCCTATGAAGTGAATATATAGAAGTAAAAATCTGACTATGTAGTGTTATCTTAATTATGTATAGCTGTTACATCTATGGTTAGTTATTTTTTACACCTTTGCAAGTTTTTGTATTTTAAATGACTTTTTTTGTACTTATTTTAGGGAGGGGTCTACAGGGTGATCAGGTTCTCACTACTAGATTGGACTCATAGTGATCCGCCTGTTTACAGCCTCCCAAGAGCTGGGATTACAGGCTCATGCCACCACGCACAGTCTCAATTGCCCTCTCAGTGCACCCTGGGGATGGGGCTGGCAGGGCAGGCCTGGGGATTGAACCTGCAGCCCCTGCACCTGCTTGCAGGAGCTTTAATACACTGAGCTGTTTGGCCAGCCCTTGTATTTTAAATGATTTACAAAAAGTTTTAATTACATTTATAATCACAAAATGTAGTTGCTTTAGAAGTGGGTAAACATGATTGAAAGAAAATAACTTCAAAGTGTGGCTCTTAAGTTTTGTAAAAATATTTAAGGGTACCATGGCCAAAGGCAAAAATATCACAGATGTGGTTGGATATGACATGTTTAAATTATGAATAATATTATCGCTACATAATATAATTATCATCAAACTCTTGAATCACTACAAAATAATATAAAACATCTAATCTCATAATATAGATTCATGTATGACATCTTGAACTTTAAGTGTGA